ATGTCGTTCAGAAGAACAATGAAAGCTCCACGACCAAACCATCCAGCTCAGAGAACAAAACTCCATCATATAAATTTATTTCATATCAACTTGATCTAATATGTCAAATACATTTATTTGAATGTTAAGTTTTCTTAAGAATTGATTAATAGTTCAATTTGAATAAAGTATAACTTAGTTGAATTTATAAGCGAATAATCATGGAATACTAAACTTAACTATCCCAGCAGAAATTTTAAAAATAAGTTACAGTCGACAAGAAAATAAACTATATTTTACTGAATTATACTTTTAATCGTATATATAACCCTTCAGTTCTGTTTTAAGAATGTAAATAGGTTATTTGTTCAGAATCAACTTTACAGTGTTATTGTTTACTTTTGTAAGGCGAAACTGCGGGAGAAATTATAATTGACAAATAAATGGATTTCCTGGAATTTTTGTGAAAATCCGTGACATGTGGAGTTCAAACGTGTCTGTTGTGAGGCAGTTACCCCCAGAAGAAAATGGTAGACGGTCGCTCAATATGGTGGATTGGTTGAAATTTAGACACTAATACCGTTGAATGCCAGCTCAGTGGTCTACAGTTTAGGCGTTCGCACGCGAGACATGAAGCCCTGGGTTTGAGTCGTGAGAGAGCGCTGGTGAGGAATCCCATACTATAATGAAACGGCCGTCCAGTGCTTCCAGGTTTTCGATCGTTGTCTCGCACTGATCCCTTCATGATATCAATCTAAACTCAACGATCTCCGTAACTATATACTGACAAATAAATTTGTGGCTTTCATAGTATGATGAATGTTCACAAAAATGTTCATTTCTTTACATTTGAAATCATATAAAATCTCATTGAGTACAAAGCAGTTCCTCGACGATTTGTCTTCAAATAAACTAATAATTGATATAGCTGTGACGTAAAATGTAATACTATATATATATATATATATATATATATATATATATATATATATATATATATATATATATATATATATATATATATATATATATAAATGCACACTGCTGAGGATTCCCATACTACAGTGAAACATCTATGTAATGATTATTTAACTAAGGTGAGATGATGCCCAGTATTTTCAAGACTGTCATTCAAAATTGAATGACGCAAGGAAGGAATAAAGGAGTCATCCAAACACTGTTATTTAAAAAACTACATTAGGTAAAATAGATGCGATGAATTGAATAATTAAACTGTCAACAGTAAGCAGATGAAATGATTGTGTAGTTTATCCATATTGTAGTGAACAAGAATACCAGTGTGGACAACCGAATATATTTGACAAAAAATTACAGAACCACTTATTGAAATCTAACAACCATATAGTGAATCGTTAATTTGCAAAATAACAATCCATCATATCAAACTTGACTGTTCCTGTTGCAAACATCAATTGATTGTCTGTCTTTTCATTGTTCATTAGTTTCCATACAAATTCCACTGTGTTTTTGCTCTTTTTTTCATTTTTTCCCATCTTCTGCTGCCGAACATTACCTTTAAAACTCGCGTCATATATTACTTATGTCTACATAATAGCACACACCACAATATCCTTTTTTAGACTACTTGTTAACAAACGAGTAGTTTAAGAGTAACTGTTCCACAAAACTTGAATTAATATTGTAAACTTTTGCAATCACATTATCTGTTGAGCTTAAAGAGTAAAATTAAAGTAAACCTATGTATTTAGTTTTAAAACATACAGAATAATTTTTAAATGTAGAGAAATTTTATTAAGTTTGAGCAACAAAATACTTACAATCGTTTTATGAGTAATACTGTAATACTAACTGGGAAAAGACATTAAGAAAATAAACTATTACAATTACTAATACATGATATGGTGATAAAATAGCGATTAAAATTTGAACTTATGTAGATTTGAGATCAAAATAAGCTTACAAATTGACACTAAGTCGGACTCATGTAGAAATTCAAAGTATTATGATAATATATACAAAGCATATTAAGTAAAATCATACGATTACTGATCCATTTGTGACGTGAATTTGTAAATTCTAATCGATTATCAATAATGATTATTAATTTTGTTGGGGGGACCCTATAAAACACTACCAAGCCTCCAGAGTCTTCGAAGGAGTTGAAGAGATTCCATCTAGTCAGAACCTGATAGAGTCTTCTAGAATATCAACGTGGTATGTTATGATTGGATAGTTGTACAACTTTCCTACTTGTGGCTTGGCTGGATTATAATGATGTCATAGCCAATACTAAAAACTATACATACCATTGTTTTTCTATACATTTTTGACCTTTACCCAATAATCACTTTCCCTGCTTCTTTCATATTTTGATTTGCGACTGTAAGCTTCTACACATCCGAGTGCCGATAATTGCATACCATACTCTGACGTAACCAAGTAAGGGACGTAACAAGTCTTATCTACTTTTCCTACTCATAAAAACAAATATACTTCAAAGGAATTCGATTCACGTTAAATTAGATTAAATAGTCACTGTCAACACTTTTATTCGGATAAGATAATGTAGATTGATTCATTTTAACCAGTATCAAAAATGTATCATTCGGAACAATAGCAATAAATTTTTACCTTGAATTAATTACTAATAATTAACAAGATGCAATGATATGGTTATTATCAATTACAATCAACTGGTTCAACCATGAGAAATGTTTAAAGAATTTACAATTTATATGTTCGTTAAGTTAGACTATTTATGTGATAGAACAGATGAATAGATTGTTTTTTCACTTAAATGTTCAGTCAGGAATGTGTTTTTATTCAAATCTGAATTTTCGTCAGTCTCAATGGGAAAAGGAACACTAAAATGCAGTTATTTCCGGGCGATCAAGCTGTACAAAAAAACATGCATTCCAAACATTATTACTATCTACAATCCACTTATCTTAAGTTTCTTTGGATTGTTTCAACTGGTTTCAAACCAGCAACTATCTTTTCTCAAACACACTTATTTAAAAATATATATATATTCTTATGTTTAGCGAGTGAGAAGTTAATTGTTTTAATTCATTTTTGAATTACAAATTCCTATAATACAAATCCAGATATATTCATCCCTTTTCTCTAGGGATTTACTTTATATGAAGATGTATTGGGATAAAATAATTAAGAAAATAGACATGCTAAACAAAGAAAACACAACAAAATTTATTCTATACTCAAAGATGGATAGTGGCTAGCAGTGGGATCCAGGACGCGTATTTCGTCCTATTTCAGACTCATCAGCTACATATATCTGCATCTCAGAGTTGATGTTCACTCTGAGACTCGAAGCCAGTACCGTTCACTTCAAACTCCATCACATTATCCACATAACTACTGAGTCCTGATAGCCACTTGCTTGTGCAATGGAGTGAAGTTTAAATTCGCTTCGTGTTGTTCACATGAATTTCCCTATAGATTCCACTGATGACCACTTTTCACGTTTACTTAGGATGCTTGTGAATGAAGGTAATATCTAGACAATCCTCACAAGATGTACATATACCAATAAGAGACTGATCAAGGCGCAGATTCAAGTAAATAATACCAAGTAAATTTATTCTATACAGTTTATATTTTTAACATAATATACAAATATTTTAATCATTCTGAAATTATTCTTTATCTTTAATTAACTCGTAAGGATTTGTCTTGATAAAAATATTCCTAAAAGTTAATCATTCGAAAAATTACTCTCTAGTAAGGTTCTTCTAACTTATCTTCCTTGCTATTTTATAACTGTCATTCTTAACAGATGATTTGGATGTCTAATGTTCTTTTACGATGGTTATTGTTATGTAATTTTCTGGTTAGCGTTTTTTTAGCGAGTTAGTTTTCTACGGGATGGGGTCGCTAACCCCATGCCCAACCCTCCTCCTTTATCCGGGCTTGGGACCGGCAGTAGCCCCCCGATAGGGACTCCAGGCGGAGAGAACAAATCAGATCTCAGTGGAGGAAGTAATCAGGAAGAAACGCTGGAAGTGAATAGGACACACATTGAGGAAAACACCGAACTGCGTCACAAGACAAGCCCTCATATGGAATCCTCAAGGTCGAAGGAGGAGAGGAAGACCAAAGAATACATAACGCCGGGAAATGGAAATAGATATGAGGAAAATAAACAAGAATTGGATAGAACTAGAAAAGAAGGCCCAGGACATAGTGGGTTGGAGAATGCTGGTCGGCGACCTATGCTCCATTGGGAGTAACAGACGTAAGTAATTAGTAAGTAATATTGTTATGTAACCACAGAAAACTTTATTTAAATAGTTACTTAGTACTTCGAAAAAATTAAGTGATCATTAAGACGATAGTAATTTGATTTTAGATGGTCTTTAAAAAAGAAAATCACTTGTACAAGTGTACAATCTATAATTATTTATAAGTTGTCATGACAAAAATAATATCATTGTAACTCTATGATTATTGAGCGATTTATCAATAATTTTGAAAAAATGTTATGGTTTTTTGGAAAAATCAGTGAATTTCTATCTCTTTTTAATTAAATATTATCATTATCTTTCAACTGATTTTAAATTAAAATCAAATAACAGAATACTTATTCAATTTCATATCGATTTCATATTCTTTTGAAATCATTTAATGGTTGGATACATGAGTCGATTTAAACTAGACCTTTCTGAAATCACTGGACAGATTTTTCGTCCTAGTATAGGATTTCTCAACAATATGTATTCATGGTTCCACAATAAACGGATTAAAACTCATAACCTTTGATCCTCCACCTACCCACGAACACTTAATCTCTAAACCACTCAGCTGGCTAGCACGCCTTAGTATTAACGTCTAACTTCAACCAATTCGTGATATTATTGTTCTCAATGAATAACTACTTCATAACAGATATGGTTTGAATTTACCGGTTATGTTATACTGACAAGAACTTCAGAAAACTCATGTTAAATTTATTAAGAAAAGTTTAAACAAAGAAAGAAAAAAAACAAATATTGAAGAAAAACCTTTCTGAAACATACCTTTTATTTATTTCAATAAATCAATAATTATAATAATTACTGCCTTTATACCAATTCAATAATTATTCTTTACTTCACTGTTTAAGACAAAATTCAAATGAATTCAAAATTTAAATTTCAAATTACATGATCATTTTCTACTTCTCTATTTGTTGATTGGTTAAAAATATTCTCATATTTTGATTGGTTAATTTATTATAAATATTTATGATTATAAATATATTTAGTAATCAATAAATATTATATGTAAGCATAAGGATAGGAAATAATAAAAAAATATTGAGGAGATAAAATATTGATTTTATTGATTAAGCTAACATTCAAAATATTGATTATCTGATTCTATTGATTATATACTTCAATTATAAATGAAAATAATGATGTAAAAAAACAAATTTAATTTTAATTGTAAACAATATGGGAAATTTTATAGGGATCTAATAATGTTATTTGTTTATTTTTCCCTGATTTCTGATGAAACTATCATAAGTTGAGTCTAATCAACTGTTTGGTAAATATATATGACCCAATATTCACTTCTCATGGTTGTTCCATTTTTTTTTTCTGATTTACGACTGTGGAGTTCTACATTTCCGAATCCCGATAGTTGCATATCGTTTGATGTAGTTAAAGTTATGAAAGATGTTTCGTTGTAGAATGTTGAGAAGGAACTAGTTTTTATCATTGCTATTGATTGATTTTCATTTTATATTAAAAGTTACTTGAAGTCAGGATTATATCATTACATGTTGACAAGATTAAGACTTAAATGTTCACTATTAGACCTTAATATCCTGAGTTTAGTTCTGTGTATTATTCATAAGTGATTATTATAGAAGAACTCTGTGGTATGAAGAAACAATTGTCTAAACCTCTCTGATTCATATTGATATTTTAACTGAGGTTAGCCAGTGACGAATACATTATAGAAATTATACCCATCTTTATAAAGCTCATTTAACTAAACCATACAACCTGTTTGAAAAATTAAATACAATTCGTGCCGATTCATTGATCACTTCCTAAAAACAAAGTAAAGAACAAGAGGTCTGTTTTTAACTACTAACAAATGATATAAGTAGGACGGAACATTTTGAGTGTATATTTAAAATAAAACAATATTCAACTTATGAAGTGTTTCTATAACTTATAAATGATGTAATCCAACAAATTTTCGAATATTCAGGAAGAATGGTTTTATTCTATCAATTTGAACATGACGAAGAAATGATTATGAACTGGAAACATTAGGATCGTCCTATGATTTTTCTAGTGACTGGCTTCAGATACGCAGGACGTGAGATAAATATCGTTGCTCTTAGTGGATAATTACTTTTTTATTTATGCCTGTTATCTCTCATAGAAGAGCATAGGCCATCCAGCAGTGTTTCCTTCTAACTCTGTCCTAGGCAATCCTTTAGAGTTATTTTCACTAGCTATTCATCCTTTTCATGTCTGCTTCCAATTCTTAACTCAGTGTGATCTTTGGCCTTCCTCTATTCTGTTTCCCTTCATTATTCCAAGTAAACGCTTGCCTCGTGATGCAGTTTAAAGATTCCCTCAATGTATATCCTACTTAATTTCCTCTTCAGGTACAACCTGGTATGTTCTCTCCCACAGTAGGTTTTTGCTGACGGCATCCGACCAACTGACCATCAGTTCTTACGTAGACAATTATTTACAAATACTTGTAGTGTTTTGATGATGGTTGTGGTAGATCTCCAAGTTTCAGCTCCGTACAATAGAACTGTCTTGATGTTCGTATTGAAGATTGTGACTTTGATATTAGTTGACAATTGTTTTGAGTTGCATGTGTTCTTCAACTGTGGGAATGCTCTCCTTGCATTGCCGATCCTTGCCTTTACGTCTGCAACAGATTCTCCACCTTCATCGATGATGCTGACCAGATACGTAAAACTTTCCACCTGTTCCAGAGCTTTTCCATCAAGTGTAATTGGGTTGGTGTTCTCTGTGTTGTATTTCAGGATCCCACTTTTTCCTTTGTGTATGTTGAGAGCTACTGCTTCATAGGCTGGTACTACATTGTTTGTATGGACCTTCATTTTTTGATGTGCATAGGATAGAAAGGTCAGATCATCTACGTTGTCCATATCGTCTAGTCACATCCAACTTGTCCATTGTATTCCGTGCTTTTCCTCAGATGTTGAGGTCTTCATAATCCTCCAGCCAACCACCAGAAAAAAGAGGAGTGGAGAGTGCACGCGATCTTGTCTGACTTGGGTTCTCACTTAAAATGCATCTGTCAGCTGTCCTCCATGCACGATTTTGCAGTGTAGTCCGTTGCATTTATACCGTATGATATTAGTGATTTCCTTAGGTACTTCTTAATGTCGAAGAATTCTTCATAAAGTTCTCATATCCACACTATCAAACGCTTTCTCCTAATCAATGGAGTTGATGTGTAGTGACGAGTTTCATTCAATTGATAGTTCAATGATTATCTATAGTGTCACAATTTGGTTTGTACACGACCAATCCTTACGGAATTCAGCCTGTTGATCTCAAAGATGAGCGTCTACTGAGTCTTTCATCCGGTTCAGCAACACTCTTTTGAAAACCCTTCCTGGTACTGACAATAGTGTGATTCCTTTGTAGTTCTCACATTTGCTCAGATCTCCTTTCTTTAGTATCTTGATGAGATATCCTCCCTTCCAGTCTGTCGACACTTGCTTTTCCTCTCAAATCTTCCTGAATAGAACGTGAAGCATATTTATAAATACTTCTATATCTGATCAATGGATAATGATCGTGCAATATTGCAAAATTACTAACGTTAAAAATATGTACTACTAGATTCTGACACAGTAGTCTAATGAATATGCTCTCTCTCTCGCTTCAAGAACTGAAGATTCTGGGTTCCATTTGTTTTAGATACTTGGATGTACAATGGTGAGAATTCGTATACTGGGATAAAATAACCGTCCAAGATTTCCTAGTTTCCACTATGGCACATCCTATGAATTCACTTAAACTAGTGAGTACATTGCAACTAGATTGATAGATTTTGACTGATACTAAAAGATTAAACACGCATCACATTAATCATCATTCAGGGATTGAAATTTTTGTGCAAACTTCCATTCACATAGATATTATTTTGTAAAATGTTCAGTTACTACTAGTATAACATTTAAAGATAGATATTTAACTGATAAAAAGAAAATAGTCTTATCATAATAAATTCAGTATTGGTTATAATATTCTGTAAAACAACAAATATGTTAGAATGTTAAGTAGACTTTAGAGACTTTGAAGATAACCGAAAGTATTGAACTAATCTCTATTATATTGTATAAATCTAACAGTGGGTATACAATCAACAATACATTATTTATCTGTCATATGAATATCGGGTTACAGATGACTGTATACATGTTTAGGCGGAGTGGATACAAAACTATAAATAATATGGATAATAATAGTAGTAGTAGTAATAGTGGTAGTAGTAGTAGTAGTTGTGTTAAAAGGGATCAAAATCTGACTCAGAGACTCCATGTGACGCTGCTGGGTAGTGAGAGCAGCCATGTTTGCTAATTTGGGCGATTAGCGGAGATTGAACTAATCCACTAATCCTATGCTGAACTTGGATTACTCAGAGTTTACTCTTCGGAGCTTTAAAAAACTTAATGACCTGCCAGATGTGTATGCTTAAGTGTATGAACTGCGTAAATTTCAATTTGTGTAGTTCTGTATGTTAGTACTTTAAAGGGGCTGAGCTCGCAAAAGGAATGTAAGATGAAATTCTTGCCCTATGTCTAAAATAATCAGCGACCTAAACCACCACGTCCAAGATATAATAAAAAGATACTAGGAGGAGAGACTATCAACCCTCCCTGAGAAAGTGCTTATGATTGTGTGCATACTATGAAGTTCATGGACGAAAATCTTTATACCAGTAGTATGCATGCAGTGTGTAACGGACAGTAAGTTGTAGCAACTACATTCGAAGCCAGCGGTGAACATCTACCCTTCCAGATTGATGAATATACCTACATGTATGCTATAGGATGCATGAGTGAAAATTTGTGCATAATCAGTTTGTATGTCACATTTTTTCGCCCACTGGATAAGTATACCTACGTGCATCAGTGAGAACTTGTATGTCACTAGTATGTATGTAGACTATACATGCGACGACTATGCACCGAAACCCGGGAATTCCAACGATCATTTCACAAAATGACGTCCACTTAGTGGGTTGGTGAATCTCAGAAAGTGTAATCTAATCCAAATAAGCCAACCGTCTATTGAAAGTCAGATTTCATCAACCTCAAATATAATAGTTTCTTCGACTTGAACATTGAGCCATGAAATGTTCTTATTTATACTTCAATCTCTATTATATGCTTTAGTTAAACAAATGACTTTTTTAAAATCATTCGATTAGTTACTAAGCATCGGATCATTTTTTTTGACATTTTAAGACAATCATGGCTTTCTTATATACATATTATATTGATAATAATACATTCAATAGATAAATATTTATTCTATATAAAAGAAAGTAGGTCAGAAAATATATGATATGATATGGATGTGTTATAACATGATACGATATGTATTGAATTATTTCCAACTTGAATAGAAGATAACTGAATGGATGAATGAATGAATGGGTTGAATGAGTATAGATTTGAAAATAAATTGTAAGATATATATATATATATATATATATATATATATATATATATATATATATATATATATATATATATATATATAGTTGTCAACATATCGAAACTTCTTTGTCTAGTTTCTTTATTGAGTACACTTCAAGAGAATATTCATTAGGAATGAAGATGACATTATTTAGTTCAAAATTGTTTGTATCAGTTCAGTATGATGAGTGTGATTTGATTCCTGGTATGAGATGGTGGTTGAAGATAGTCAACAGGAAACCCTAGACCCGGGTTTCGTGCTAATTGGCACTTATCAACATGGTTTACCTGTAATCTTGAGGGAACTGGTGCCCCTGACGGACTCGATACCGTGTCACACAGCTTCACAGTCAGGGACGTTACCACTGAGCTATCCGGGCCGCGACTGACCTCCTGTAGGACTGAGATGTATTTATAATTGATT